ACCCCGGGGCCTCGATTACGATTCAATTGACGCGGACACGGCCTCGATGGAGCGGTTTCCGGGTGTCTTTGCCCCCTCTCCTCGACCGTTGCACGCCGTAGCATGTGTAATTAATGTATGCGAGAGGAAATCTCGTAAAGACAGTTGTAGGGGAAACGGATTCTACGATTCGATTTACAATTCTGAATACGGTGATTGACCGATCGAGAGGAAGAGACAATTATTTAGACGGCTAAACTTTAGACCTTTGACCTTATCTCTCCGGTGAAATGTGTGAAAGCAATGCACGTTACCCCATTTGTTTCCCTTCAGACGGTATCACGCAACTGTCCGCGGTGGTTACGTGCGGCCCCTCGTCGGCGACCTTCAACAAGCCTGTGATCCTACAATTCGAGCACTGCGCGATGCTTCACCCGGCCACGTGGGAGCTCAGCGTCTGGGCCTGCGATGGGCTGAGCGTCGAGGATGGGACGGCGGTCGCCTCCTCCAAGGATCATCAATCGATCACGTGGAGCAGGGTGTTAACATTGGGTAACGAGACGATCAACACGCCGTTGTTCACCCAGCTGGACCACGCGGAGGCGTTCATCGTGACGGAACAGTTGAGGGGTTACGTGTTGGCCGGTCAGAGTTGCGAGAACGTGATCGCCACCAAGAGACTGCGAGTGGCGTTGTTCGCCAGCCAGGCTGGCCAATGTTGCGTCCGGGTTTACGCGGTGGAGGACACGAAGGCAGCCATGAAGGCGATCGTCGACAGGGAGTCGCAGATCAGAGGTTACCTGTTGGACAAGCCGAGAACACTGCTGTTCCAAGACAACGGAGAGTCGCTCTGCGTCAGCCTCGAAGAGGTTGGCAACGAGTGGCAGAGCAAATCGCCCACGGAACGGCAGGAGATCTCGTTCAGGGACATGTGGAACTGCCAGGAGAACACGAAGCACGTGACGTTCGGATTGGACACAGCTTTCGGACCCACGAGCAGCAGAAGCTACAAGCTTCAGGTGTCGCAAGGGAACTCGGACACCAGGCAGGTGTTCAGGATCGTGTACGACGGCGCCAAGCAATTGATCTCATCCGGAAGCGTGACCAGACCGCTCAGAGAGGTGACCGTGGTCAGCAGCGGGCATGCCAACAACGCGACCACAGATTCCACCACCCTCAGACCGTTTCGGTTTACCAGGTCCCTGAGGAAACAGCTATGCCAGTGCCTGGACCCGCCTAACGCTCTCGGCAACGACTGGAGGATGCTCGCGCAAAGGCTTCAAGTCGACAGGTTAGCAATCTTCTCGAGATTTCCGCGTTTTCTCCGATTTCCTTGCACGTATGGTAGCTGAATCGAATCTCTGCCCTACGGGGACAGAGATAGTTTCTTCCCTAATTCCACGTTAGGGTGTTTCCTCGAACGATTCGCGTCTCTCGAGAGTTGATTGTTCTTGACAGCCATTGATTTGTGTGAGGATCTTGTTCCTCTTTTTCTTCTTTTTTCCTCAACTGCGAATACTTTAGATTTGATTGAATTTTGAGGATTTTATAAATATTATATCGAGTTGCAATTTTTAATAGTTATATAAAAAGATATTTCAATTTTTATGATTTTTTTATGATTATGTAATAAAGTCGCGTTGAGTAAACGAAAATTTATTGAATTTCTGGTTTCGAGCTTTATACTAGATCTGGATTAGATTATATTACAACTTTCTAATAAAGAATAGCTGTCAATAAAATATATTAAAAGAAATCATCGAAATTGACATTCTATCAATAACTGTCCCTCGTTAATACAAAACACGCAAATTCCTTTTCTTGCAGGTACATCAATTATTTTGCAACCAAGTCCAGTCCCACGGAGCACATCCTGGATCTCTGGGAAGCGAAACACCACGAGCCAACAGCTGTGACCGATCTCCTGAATCATCTTCGAGTAATGGGCAGAACCGATGCCGCCACGATCCTCGAGGCCCAATTGGGCCCGTGGCTCTGAACGAGCGGAACCCAGCCGCCATGTGACGTTTCCTGTGGTGAGTGAAAGTCGTACGGAACGAACGAGTCGAGTGTACGAAAAGGAAATAGTGGTGAACCGAACGTTTGTTTCGACGCGGGGAACCCGGACGTTCCTCTTCGGACGAACTGATCGAAACACTGCCTTAATTTGCGCGGGGCATTATCCCGCTCGCTCCCCCTCTGTACATAAAAATTTCCTTTCTTTTCCTTTTTTATTTCGCTCCCTCTTTCTTGTAAGATGAACGTTGTTCGAGGCGACATTGTCGAGATCTCTATTGAGGAGATCGTATTGTAATAATCGTGAAACGAAGTAAACACTAGAGACTGTGCATTTAGATGATTATATATGTGTAAATACGTGCTAAGGACTGGCGGAAGAGATACAAATGGATATATCCATTTAGACGGATGTTTATATAAATATAAATATATAAATAAATAAATATATATATATATATATACATAGTTAAATAAAGAACATCGAGCAAGGAACGAACAAACGAAAACGAAGAATATTGTTCCATACGCGATACAAAAGCTACGAATAAGATAGCGGAAAAAAAAAATATATATATATATATATATATATAAAATGGTAAGAAGAGAAAAGGAAGATGTTTTTATCGATTTGTTATACATATACGGATGCACGAGCATACACGCGAGTGGCCACTGGTTTCCTGGAAGGATGATCGTGCCAAAATTCTCACTCTCGGTTTCGAAACTCACGAACCCGTTTCCGTTAACGTTTGTATTCAGATGTTTGTTGAAAGAGAGAGAAAAAAAAACTAAATAAATAAATAATGATGAGAAAAAAAAATGTGGAGAAAGAAAAACGCGCCTGTGGTTTTTTTCGTGTGCACGTCGACAATACACTGTCCCGTGCCCGTTACCCTCGACCAAGAACAGGAGGAGGGATAACGCGTGAACACGGGGTGGAAGTTCGATTCGCGTAGAACACCACTTCGATTCGCGGTAAAAATCGGATGACTTTTTTTAAATCGACGCAAGTTTATTTGGAAGAATTGTATATTTGTTACTTTCGACGAATAAAATATTCTTGTATACCTCGAGCGATTGCTCATTTTCATTTTTCATGTCCTTTTTATCGTTCCTCTCTCTTTCTCTCTCTCTCTCTTGTGTGAATAAAGTAAAATTAGCATAGATAGTTTGATTTTTAATTTAATTTTTTAACAGTCAATAAAGATTACGATAATACACACTGTTTGTTGACGTTTGATAAAATATATTTTTATTATATATATTTATGAAATTATTATCACATTTGTTATTATCACTGTTTTTGAAATTTCTTCACGCATTCATATTCGCTTGAAAATTAACAAAATTAGATGAAATACGACTTTTGATCATAAAATATATTATTATAATTATCAGTATAAAGGATAATACAATTTTGTAAACAAAATTATTAAAAGAAACTCAATATGTTTAAATTTTGATTCAGCACAAGTATTGGATTATATATTAAATAAGCATGGAAGAAATAATTCTCAGGTAAGTAATTACTACACAAAACAAGCTACCAAATATCTTCACCGAATAAAAGTATTAATTAATCTAAATATTTACTTATAAAATATAAACATACATTTCCTCCTCCAAAGAAAAAAAAACCAATAAACGTCCCTCATAAAATGAAGCTTTATAAGATTCGAGATATATCTCACACCGTGACCACAGACTTAGTATTAAATTTCCACGGTAACAGGATCATAATTATGAGCCGAACGTGTTCAGCTAATATTGCTAGGCCTTCGCGCGAAAGACTTCCCTAAATAAGAAACCCTCGAGGCAACGGGTAACACGATACGGGGAACAACGTCCTAATGTCCAATGAGACGCTGAAAGAATGTTGCCTTCACCGGTGTACACGGTGAGTCAGCATCGATCCCGCGGTACATTTCTCGCGATCAAATCGTCGCCAAGTTTCCACGTTCCATTATAGTTTCGATTCCGTGATATCGAGTAACTGTTTCAGGCGATGCGTGCGCTTAATGCGGCCGCGAATTAGTTCGAAACCTTTTATCCGATCCCATCGTTCCCGGAATTACGAATTCGTGCTCGCCACGAAAATGGAGCAACAAACGTAAAACGTAGGTATATTATCGCCACGATTTTCAACTAAATTACCGTTTTTTCACTTGTAGATTAATGTAGATTATTTCGTTTTAAAATTTATGGAATATCGTTGGATTTTTAATAAAGGATCGATTGGGAAAAAAGTAAGGTATGAGAGAGAGAAAAAGAGAGAAAAAGAAGTTTTGATTATATTAATTTTACAATATAGAAAAAAATTTTTAAATTTAAAAGTATGTGAGTAAATGTAATTAATCATTTTTTTAACATGCATAATCTTCTTCCATTAAATATTTAAAAATTTCAGAAAAATAATTATATTCGTCGTGAAAATATATACGAGAGAGTTTGAAAGCGAACACATTAATTTAAAAATAAGAATACAGGAAAGATTCTTCTTGTATAATAAATAATATTACATTATCTTTTGTAACATATGGTTTTTTTAAATTCCTTATTTTTCCCTTATTGTGCATATTTTTCATAATAAAATATGGAGTTTAAAAAATCTTTGCAGATCTTTAATTCATAAACTCATAGGGAGTCAAGCTTCAAGAATTGCTTAAGAATTTTAGAATTTATGAAATCAAACGTACTTGTCGTACAAAATAATTTCATTAATACTATTAATATAACTATATTTTAAAATGTTCTTTCTCTTTTTCTTTTCCACGTTCGAAAATCGAAGAAGAAATCATCAGCAAAAGGAAGATTCAACATCAATCCTCGAACAACTTTATAAATCCGTGTCTTTCAATGAACACGTTCAAAGGCCGACAGCTGCAAGAGCTCGCTCGTAGGCGCGAACTCCTATATTTCAAGCGCACGGGAGTAAAGAAAATTGCATTTCCTTTGGTAATCGCTTCACGGAACACGATTTGTTGCACGGGCGCATGGCGCATAAATCTAAGTAAATACAGTTTCATGCCGGTTCGAGGTGCACGCAACGCGGCTCAATCAAGCCAGAAGGACGACGAGAGGCGATTCTAGCCGGCAACGATCTATCCGGACACGAAACGCCGTCTGTCACGATCTTTTACGTGAAAGACACAAGTGCAATGGCTGCCGCCAAATGCATTTTATCGACGTGTCGTCGATAATTTCCACGGGAAAGACTCTTTCTACTTTTCCTTTCCTCACACCCCTTTTGCAACTGCCTCCAACTACGACACAGACACAAAACACCGCTTCAATTTCCCTCGACGAGAAGGCGAGAATTGTTGGAGGAGAATATTTCTCGAGACTTTTTACGCCCATACCATTGACATCTCTCTCTTTCTCTCTCGAATAGAAGGGGTAGAAGTATCTACGCCGCGGAAAGAGACACGCGACAATGGACGTCGAACGTAGCAATTTTGAAATGTCGATACCAGTCACACGTACACCTTTTCCAGCCTAGCTGCGAACATTGCTTTCTGCTTTTCTTACTGGTACGACCTGCCATTTTTACGTCTCCTTGAAGGAATATGGAGCTCTTTTCCTTGATAACCATCGATATTTGTTTGAGCTGAGTGATGTTATTTTGAGGACACTTGGAATTTTTTCCAAGGTTGAAGAGGATCCATTGTATATTATTTAATCTAATTTATAATATTAAAATATTCTTTCCCTTTCGACATTTTCTTTTTTCTTCGTTCGAAAAAATTAATATTATATATTGTTGGAAATTTTTATTGGTATATATATATACGTATGTATATTTAATTGGAAATAATTTTACTAGATGTTGTCTGAGAAAGATTGGACGACTGGGTCAACGAGATAACCTTGATTATCTGAAATAAAGCAGTGTATTTCCGTTTGAATGAAACAAATTTACGTGGTATAGAGAGAGATATACGTTTTTATGAATGATATTCTGAAACGATAGAGACGATTGTCTGTTATTTGTTTCCAATCCGTCGATTCGAAATTCGTAATCCTACTCGATGCGATAACTCGAGGTTACACAGATAAGACACTCATCTCAAAGCTATCTGTCGATGACAGACCAATTGAAGGAACGATATTCCGCTAGACGAGCTATCTCAATCTATCTATAGAATATCTCTCAAAAATATTTCGTAATTCTCGAGTTTCGAATAAAAATATACAAAATACTAAAAAAAAAGAAAAGAGAGAAATAAAATTGTCAACACTCGAACAAAACGAGAGTTACAAACTTTATGAAAACGTCAAAAGGGAATGGTCTCTCGTTTCCTACCTCGAAACGTATCCGTCATAAAGAGCAGAAAAGAGGTACCATCGTAGGAATTTCGTCGCGCGATATTTAATTTAAATTCCAGCGTGGAAAAGAGCGTCCGACCATGTGACTCATCGGTCGTGGCTCATAGGTACGTTCATATATATATATATACAAAAAACATCGAAGTGAGAGAAAAAGAAGGAAAGAAACGTGGAAAAAGAAAAGAAATAGAAGGAAATAAAGAGAAAAGAAAGAAGAAGGGCGAAAACGTGAGTCAATTTCTCACGGAGCGAAAGATGTCGGCCTCATCTGAA